AAAAGATAGAATCGCAGGTGCGCTCCCAGGGCTGTGCTTTGTGGGGTTGGGCCTGACTCTCGCCAGGTGGGGCAGAGCTCCTGGGGCTTCTTTCCTGCTGCCCTGGCATCAGCAGCCATGGGGCTTCAAGGAAAACCGTGGGCTGGGAGGATCATGTGTCCCTCTATGCTTCCTTACATCCTTTTGCAAAGGAAGAAGAGGCCCTCTTCAGGATGGACCATCCCCATTGGTAAATCACAGTCAGTGCCATCCATGAGCATAGAAGCTGTTCACTGCGGCAAATACAAATTTAGTGTAAGTTATCATCTGGCTCCTTCCCTGAAATCCAATATAACATGAACATGCGTGAACTTACCACTAAGTTGAGAAGCTGTCTTTGTGTTCTTCCAAGATCCCATTCCTCCCTGCCATGAAACCCTGAATTTTGTGTATATTGTGGCCATAATTGTCCAGATGTGTATGTATCTCCAGTTGTATTGTTTAGATTCTACAGTTGCTGGCTTTGTTTAGGAGTGTGTAACACAGTGGTTATAAATAGTGGTTTTGGAATCAAACTCATTGTGTTGAAATCTGAGATGAAGTATTTACTAGTTGTGCAACCTTGAATGCATTACTTACCTGCTCTGAACATCAGTTTTTTCACTCTCAAATGGTGGTAATCCTGCCCAACTCATCCCTCTCCTGGAGTTGTCCAGGGGTTTGAATGGAATGAGACCTTGTCCATTTCTTCCTGGCCCACGATCGACCCTCAACTAAGGTTGAGGGCAACCCTCTGCCCCAGACATCCCTGGGAACTCCTGTCAAACACACTCACCCTTCACCACTGGCACGTACTCCAAGTCACCAGGCCTTAGAACAGCAGCGAACGAGGAATGCATGGGATGAACAAGTGTGCCAGACTATTAAGTCTTTCCTGTGTCCACACAGGAAGAGGAATGCGCCGGGCAGAGGACAGCAGATGCCATTACCAGATCATTACTTAGCACGTTGCTTGGTCTTGGCAGGAAATGGTTCATCATTTTCAGATGAGTAGAGAGCTGTAGAACCTCGTAACTGTCCTCCCTTGTTCTGCACCCGTGTGGCAGACGCAATGGTCCTTGCCAAAGCTTTCCCTCCCACGGTGCCTTATCAAGATAAGTGACTGGGGGTGTGGGATACCACATGATCCACTGAATGCAAGAGCCCTGAACTCAGAAGGGGGCTGGGGTCAAAGGCTTCCAGGGCTGGAGAGTGAGGCCGGAAACCCCAAAAGATAAATGAGGACTTCTGGAACAAGATGAGAAGATGAATTAAACTGTTTGCTTTGAGCATGCACATAATGTTCCAGAAAAATCCACTTTGGCTGCCAAAGTAGCCCTTTTGGAATTTATGAAGACCCTTGCCAGGGCCCTCACCCTGGGGCTTAGTGCT